TGGAGTACTGCTCTGGCTGCAATGGTTCAGGAAATGTCCAGGAGACCAGGATGTTTTTGTAGTATCTTTTATTGGTCTGACTATACAGTTGGAAGAGCTGTTGGACAAAGTTTTGGGCATCAAGTGCCCTTCCTCTAATTAATATGGAAAGATGAAAACTGATATCATGATGGTTGGATGGAGGAGGAAAGCAACCCCAGGAACTACTGAAATTATAGCAGCTCGCCTGCTCTTCCAACTCATCTTAAGAGATTCCTTGGTGGAAAGGGCTCGGCTCCATCTGTCTGGGCCTGCAGCTAGTATGATTTAGAGGAGTAGTCCCCAACTAGTCCCTACAAGTCAGCGATTGTTTCAAGAACTGCTGTGTCCCCAGTGTGGAAGAATGGAAATAAAAGGAGAGTCACATGCCCTCACACACAGGCCCAATGACTGCGGGGAGAGAAAAGCTGGATGTTTCCTTTCCCTCATCACCATCCATTGTGCTGACAAACAGACTTGGGGAAGAAAAAGCAAGAGGCAAGGAGGGAAAGGTAGTGGAGAGTGGACAGATGTACAAGGGATGAGATCACAAAGAAAAAGAGAGAGCAGTACCCGGTAGGAAGGAGGCAGCAGAGAGAAACCAAAGGAAGGAAGTAGGGATAGACACAGGGCAGGAGAACCATAAAGTAGCAGTATGGACACAGTTGTCTTGGTGTATGAATGTGCAGATAGGAGCTCACACAAATCCTCCACTCAGCCACCCTGACAGACTCCAATCCCTTCCAACGCCCCTTTTGTCCAGACCAATTCAGCAGGCAGCTTCCTGATTTCTCTTCAAACTTTCTGGTCAACCTCAAGAGGGATGGGCTTCACCTGTCTCCTAAAGGCAAGCGTGTCTTCTCTTCCAGGTTGGCTGATCTCGTACAGTGAGCTTTAAACTAGCCTCGCCGGGGGAGGAGCCTGGCCTCTGATGGTGGCTGGGGCACTTTGCTGACCGTGTAGCCAAACATGGCAGGGAATTGAGGGGAAGGGGGAGACCAGGAGGAAGGGAGGAGGGACCGCTCAGAAACCTCTGCGGGAGGCAGGCAAAGAAGGGTCTAGGGGAGATGCAGTCCCATGCAGATCCAGTACTGTTTCAGGGGCTCCCTCATCTCATGGTGTGCCTTGAAAAGCATGAGGATGTGGGAGTCCTGCCCTGAGAAGCGACATCCCCACCCACTGCCATGTGGAGACAAAACAAAGGATATATCATATGGGGCATGGACACACATAACACTTAGGGCAGAAACACGTTCTTCACCCTGGGCAGGTGCTCTGGCAGCTTGAGGGTGCTTGAAGGGCCCAATCCTGATCCCTTCAAGCCTCTGAAGGACCCACCTGATTTTCTCCATGTATAAAGAGGCCTGGGGCACATCACTGTAAATGGGGAAAGCCAATGTGTGTCCTGGTATGGAGACACAAGACTCAGGGCCTCCTGCGGGCCTCATGACTTCACTCTAGGATTTGTATGACCCAGGGCTTCCACCCTGCAACCTGTGCTAGGTCTTGCACTGACCCATGCCTCCTTCAGAGGAACAGATCAGCGTGAGTCCCAGTGTAGGGGGCACAGGAGCTGAGTAATCTCCAGTGCCCTAAGCTGCCAGGCATGGACCGTGCTGACCCGTGCTGGAGATACTTTGGCTCCTGCAATGTAGTCTCCCTCCACCCCATCCTGAACTGCTTGTGCCTAAAGCACGGGTCAGTGTGGATCTTGAAAAGGAGGCTCAGGGCACCAAGGATTCCCTGGCACCTGTGTCACTGCAGGACCTGATGTGAGGCAGGAAGGGACCGGGAACACATCATCTGTTGTCCTGCATCAGCCAGGGGGCCCAGTGTGGGACAATGGGCAGTGTGTGTCACTCGGTAAAGCAGATCAGTTTGTAATGTGATGTCATACTACAGCTGATCCCCTTCAGTTTGGCAATGCCTGTTTCTAGGCTTAGACTATGTGAAATACATCTTAATGAACTTGAAATAGATGGACATACAAGACTGTTAAAGTGGTTTTAAAGCTTTCTGGAACAGGTTAATTTTGTACCGGGAAAATCAAGTGTCTTTTGAAC